CAGATGACCCGATAGATGACCTGTCTCAGTGCGCAGCTTCCAGCTTTGCATTATAATTAGACACATTAGACGTTGCAGTTAGACACTGTGGGGCATAAAACTTGGCAATGAAGTCAACATGAAAGAAGTTCAGTTTGTTGTGAAGCATTTTGCAGACCATTGTACAGTAAGTACCTCTTCTGAAATACACAATTGTAGCGAACTGAAGAAAGAATATTTATCCACAAGAACTTAGGAACTGCCTTGAAGGGGTGGGAGCGGAAATTATTTGACTTTCAGTGATACCAGTCACGTCCCAGTCAACATGCTAAGTATCAGGGGAGTTTGCAGATGATAAGAGCAACCTCTCCTTCACAGAGCTTGTGATCTGGTGGGAGACAAGGACACATTGGTACTTAAAAGGCAAAGCGCTCTATGTATGATGTTTGTGCAGATGTATGTGCAGGGCACTCGGGGACACTCAGGAGGCAAGAATACATATCAGAGAGCCTTTGTGTGCACCACAGACCTCCACACTCACTCCTGGCTTGTGATGTAACACCCATGCCATCTGTTGCTTCATCAGGAATATTCTCAGGAATTCATTTTTTGAGTCGTATCTCAAACTCAAGCGCTGGTTGTTTGAGAGTCTAGACTTTGAAGGCTCACTCCAACATTTACTAATCTGTATCTTCTGAACTCCTTATTTGTATGACAACGATTACTCCATGAGCTTATCATAAATACATACACACACACGTGCCCACACACATACTCTGTGCCAGCCACTACACTAAATGTTTACAATAGTTTGTGTGTGTGTGTGTTTAAAACATTTAGCATAATGGCCAGCACAGAATGAGTCCTCAAATCTATGGTAATGGTTCTGGATATACTAAATAGACTAACTTCATATTTGTTGTGCTTTCAGTTTGTGGAAGTTCTTATTTAAGAAATACATTTTATTCATTCATTCACCAACCGTTGACCAAGCCTTCTGTTCAGCTGGTGGTATTTTAGGTGCCAGTGGTGCAGGGGCTATCACAGTTATGTCTTGTCTTCTCTCTTTATAGCTCAGCTATTCACCAAATCCCAAAATGCGAACTGAAATTGAATGACTCCACTTCGAAAAGATTTAAAAACGAGAGAACTGAAATAAAGTGACAAAACAACTTCAAGGGAAAATACAGTGGTCTGCTTTATTATTGAAAATATAATTAATTTATTTTTTCTTGTTTCTAAGTAATTCAGCTGGTTTGTAAATACAAAATCACATTAAGAGAATGCTTTTTTTTGCAGTTGGTATAATCAAAAACAAGTTGAAATAGAAAACTTAAATCTTATATGACAAAGTTTAAGAATAAATGAGTTCTATTAGTGAAATTCTCCAGAATATGCATTATCCTCCTTTCTTCTGAGATGGTAAAAATTTAAGCCAGCTTTTAAAGACATCATTTCATGCAAAAATGCTAGTGAAAATTTTGGCAGACAGCAAAACATTTTTCTAAAAAATTTTAGTTAGCAGTGCCTCAGAAATCCACACAATTAAGATATTCATATTGTCATTTTTCTACAAATTCTGCAAAATGTTACAATTTCCCAGTAACTTGGGTATTTGAGCTTCTGACTTGGGGCAGGGGGAGACTAGCTTGAGTGCTCTTAATTTTCAAAATATGGAAACCAAAAGGCACACAATAAGTATATAATTTGCACTCTTTACCTTTGGGTGAATAAGACATAATTTAAGAAATAATTCACATAATCCAGGAGATTTCTGATAATATGCCTAGTTTGATTAAACTGGCAGATTTATTCAACAAGCAATATATAATCCAAGTTCATACTGAAAAATCAGAACTACATGTAAAATTATACTGTGTTATTTACATAAAAGAATTACAGTGTAAATCTACTCAAAGTCTAACACCAACATTAAATATCTCAGGTGTTACAAAGCATTTTCATTTATTAAGTAATAGAACCTGAAGCCCTCACTGAATTTTGTACAATAAAAAATATTTTATTGCTATGTTAGTTTCTATCTACAATTAGTTTTTACTCTCAGTAACCCTATTTTGTGCAATAAGTGATCATTTCTTATTACTAAGGCAGAATTACCTTAAATTCAATATAATATCCACACTTTGAAAAGGAAATGTCCACTAAGCCATGAGTCAGTTCTAATATTATGATCAATTTTCCATCTAGGTCAAAAATAAGTAAAAGACAACATAACAAAAAAGTTTCTTATTGAGATCCTAGATACAAACATAATTTTGATATTGAAGGCTCTGTTACTCTTAGCACTGCGATAGAATGTCAAATAACTAAAATGTTACAAAGGAAGAATTTTCTATATTTATGCTAATTCTGCTTTAGATGCCCTCATGGAACTGTGGCTGAAGTTGATGCTATTCTTTACTTTTAGCAGAAAATGGTAACTTTGAGTATAAACATATCAGATAAATAGCATGTAACATTAAATTCCATGTTAACGATGATGTGTGATGTTGTGTTTCTGGGTGACGTCTATGCATTTTGTTCACACATCGAAGGAACTGGTAGAGACCAGGTGTCTAGAAAAGCCCAAGGCTGTGAAATCATACAAATCATCAATTCTGCTTCCAACTCTGACTCCCTCTGGATATAACAAGTTCAACTTATGAACGAGAAGGTGGTTCTAGGTACTTAAATATGCCAATGTAAACAACTGGCTCAAGCGTTGTCCAATAGAAAAAAAAAGCAAATACAAATTATATATGTGTGAGAAAAAAATACATAATGCTAATACTAACCTGTGTGTGTGCATGTGTGTAGTTAGCATCTAAGCTATACTAAACAATTTTTTAGAATTAAATTCTAAAAACTGAAACCAAAAATTCTTACTCTGCTTTTTTTTTTTTTTCAAAGGAGTGACAGTATTACGGACTTAAAGTCTATTTCGAGAAACAAAAACCTCTTTGCCACTGAATCATGTTCAAAAGAACTAGAGACTTTTAGCATCGAAGTCAGACATACCTCAGTGACACTTCTTGCTACAATATTGTGAAATAGGATGAACTTACTGTAAAATAAAATCAAGCTACTACTCTGAGTATATTCTTCTTTCTGGAACTCCCATCTTCTTATTTATTCTAGAATAAAAACCAGTTTGAGATTTAGAAGTTTAAACTAGATCCTAGCTACGAGTAACATCTCTTGCAATGAATTCAACTGACAGTTTCTCAATGTGGGGTCTCAAGAAGTGAGAGCGAGGAAGAAACTGACTCACGTACCTCTGGGTAGATTCACAGATCCAAGAGAATGGCTGAGTCAGCCTGGCCATTTGTGAAAGCACACGTAACTTCAGGATTGCGTGTGATTCCAGAGTTCATGTGACATATTGTACAACCTGCCTTCCTCCCTTACCTGCCTCCTCTCTTTTTTTTCCAAGCTTTTAGTTTCTTCTTCTGGGTTTTCTACTGTTCAGTGTTTTCTAAGTTGCCCTACCGTTTCCAGGATCATGGCGTATAGTTGTGCTTATGGGTTTAACAATGCCTTTGTTTCTTAAATGGAGTGTGGAAACACAACTGGAGGTTCAAGTGTTCCAAATTACGGAATGCCAGATAGAGAAAATGTTCAACTGTGTTGAAGAATCTGTTGTCTGCACGAGCTGAATGCCACTCAGAATGGAAGGTCCATCGGAAACAGTAACGTGCAGATGGTGCTTCTCTGCAGGTTTGGAAGGAAACGCTACACTGGGCAGGGCGCCGCCTGGCCCTCTGGTTAGGGGACCCCGTGACCTGGTCAGGGGGCTGTAGCTTAGTGATCTTTAAACTGTCATGCAGTGTATACCCTTTCTTAACTCCCACTTGGTCAATTAACATTTTTATACAACAAGTTTGTACAGAGACCTTATCTTTCTCCGGTAGGAGCCTGCCTATGTTCATTACTGGGGTTCCAAAAAGAATCTTCTGCACCAGACAGCACTGTATCTCTGGCTCTCTAACTCTCATTGATTTAGTGTCACCCGTGCCCCTGATATTAACAGAAGATGCTGGGAATGCAGCCAGCTGTCAGGCAGAGCCAGAGAAAGGCCCAGGCCTGACAGGTGGCAGGCAGGCAAACCCCTCTCTCAAGCCAGGTTGGCAGCGCACTCACCTTCCCCACAGCAGCAGACAGAGCAAAGCAAGGACACCCGGGGAAGGAGGCAGCTGTTTCAGATCAAAAACTACCTCAGAATGGCTCTCATGCTCTGGATGAATGGTTCCTCCAACCGTGCAATTTGTATTTTAAATAATAGCCCATCTTTTTTGTTGTTATTGTCTTTATTTTTTAAAATTTTTGTTGTTGTTGTTTTCACCAAAATGAAGGTGGGAAGCAATAAAATCAAGCAAACACCTTTAAAGGTCTTGAATATGGGACCCAGGGAAGTCAACGCGATTGGGCAAATGCAAGACTTTGGCAATATCCAGGCATCGACAGCCATGTGGGTCCTATCATGTCATGGATGTTTCAGTGATGCCGTTTTCAGCATGAACAGATGTGATCCCAGAGCACTGGAGGGACAGGGAGCATCAGCGTGTGTGTCTGTGTGTGTGTGGAGATGGAGAAATGCAAAACACCTGTCTGCTGGCTATTGTTCATTTTCTCAAGCAAGAGGGAAATGACAGCAATTTAATAATTTATTATCCTCTGATTCTAAAAGTAAACAGATTAAATCTAGCATTTGATTACATGGAATATTGTCTCATGGCCAACTGGGTTCTATTAACCCACCAGCTTCCGGTGTTAGCTCTAATATCTCTTCAAAAGAATAAAGATCTGGAAAAGTTTCCCTTTTACTTTTTTTCCACATTGGAATTTTCTCAGTTTATTGATCAAACCTTCCTTTTTTATAGCTGTCCATATTTCCTCCTGCTGTTCCTAACATCACTGGTTAAGAAACTACCCCTAGGTATTTATTATAAATGTGGAATTCCTTCCACAACAGAGTCTATAAAAACTAAATAGAAAAGAAGCAGATGAGGGAAATAGTACAATTTAAGAGGTGTTTTTAGATTCTGTACGATTTCATGTCACTTACATTGCTGTCACTTTTTATTCTATCTCACGGATTGTAGCCTTCCAGTTTTCCTTTCACCTCATCGCTTTATACTACTTGAGCTTTAAAGTTCCAGTCTTAAGGGTGTCATCCTAAAATCCTCGTAGCAAGTACAGAGGACGACGGATCACTGTGCCTTTCCTTAACCTCCCTTCTGGTTAGAGGTTAAGGAAACCCTCTATTCATGCAATTAAACTGAATGACTTGTTTTCCTATTTATCACTGCGTTCAGAATGGGATGCTCTGTCTGATAATTTCGAGGTTTTCTTATAATCTTTGCTTTTGGAGTCAGTTGTGAACTAAAAATTTTAAGCTGTGGATTGCTTAGTTTGGGGCTGTTATACAGAACTTTGTTCCAGGCTCCCTGTCCCCCGGCCTCACCAATGTTCCAGCCCCTGAAGCCCCTTACCAGTCAGTCCAAACGCTCTGGTAAGTTCAGGGTAGGAGAACGTCTTGTCGTCGTCAGCATCAAATAGCTCCAGTTGCTCTTGTTCTGGTGTCTCTTCTCCTAGGAGGCTCCCTATCTCACTGTAAGTCAAATAGCCGTTGGCATCGTGGTCAGCACCGTAGAAAAAGATTTGAAGATCTGTGGAAATGAAAGACTTTGCATGTTCCAACTCAGATTTTTGGTGTCAACCCAAACATCGACCACCCTCCAAAACAGCACTTTGTCCCTGTCGGCTTAGGGTCTCTGTCCCTCAGACACAGCAAGGTCATTTTGCTGCACATCTCTTTAACAAGTCAGTTGATTTTTACCTTTCTTTTAACACCAGCTTATCATGTCTCTTCATTCTACTCTGAATTATCTGATCATTTCCTATACTTGTTATCCTGTTATCTGTGTTCTCATGGTGTTTTATAAGTAAACCATAAACTCAGTGTTTTTATTGTTTTCTATTTGCCTCACTGATTAGTATAAGCCTTTTAATGGAATATTCGTCTTTATGTATACTACAGTCTTCAATATATTTATGGATCTTTATTCTCTACGAAAAACATCCATCTGACTAAATTCTAATGATCTTTCTATCCCAAATCCTTTACTTATTTGCTTGTATTCACATCCTACCTCCTATTTTTCTAACATTTCTTCATGCTACATCAAAAGTAGCCCCCTCTTTTTGCTATCAATTCTGAACATACGGACATCTCTTCTGCTAAGCTGGATGTCATCTACAACATTTATTTTAATTTACACATAATCAAATGTTGTTCCTCCATTTATAATGCCACTAAATAACATCCCTTTGTCAGTATTCTTATTATCCTCTCCATCTCACTGCTCTAAGTACTGCCTTTATTAAAGCACAATCAAACATTGTTTTCTGTGTTTCTAAAGTGCCAGGCACGGTATGTGACACTGCGAATACAAGGGTGAAGAAGGCATAGACCCTGACTTCAAGGAGACAAAATCAGCAATTAAGACGTTTCAGCAAACAGTGGAATATTTGTTGTGATGTAGGTGCAGACAATGTGCCATTAAGGCATAGAGGAGAACGAGGGAGCGTTCCACTCGGGGCTTGGTTTGGTTGAATTATAAAGAATGGATAGAAATGCACCAGGCAGAGAAGTGGTTAGAGGTGATTTTTGGAGGGCATGATCCTACAGTCAAAGGCATTAACTTGTGGAGGAGTGGAGCACATTAAGAAACTGCCAGTAGCTTGTTCTGACAAGAGTGTATGTGGTGAAGAGATGACCACCATACTAAGGAAAAATATTTTCTGACAACAGTCTTCCCTTTGGCTCTTCAGTTGATCACCGCCAAACAGTCCGCTCCGCATTAGCTGTGCAGTGTCTCTCCTGGGACGCCCGTGTCCGGACCCCAGTGCCGAATACCTGGCCCTACAGAACAGCTGTCACCACTGTTGGTGTCAAGTTTCCTGTATTACAGAGCGTTTGATGTAACGTAAAGGCCCTTCTATCCTGCTAAACTGTAGAAAAAGACCAAACTATAGCACCCTTAAGTTTACTTTTGCTTGGCTTAGGAAATCTGCAAAGTAGTGTGATAGTTGTGACAACTTCTTCTTTGCTAGTTTGAAGGAAAAGAAATGAACATTTTTTCGTCTTAAAATATGAAAGAGTATGTTCAGGTAATGAAAGGATTTAGCAAAAGCAATAATTTATAAATTAGTTTTTACTTAACATGATAAAGAGAAACAGATGCCGTGGAATAGGGACTGAGAGAGTACTCAAGAGTGACAGGGACGGAGCGAGCTTGATGACTATCTAGGCAGTCGTGGGTTAAACGCACGTGCAGAGATTACAACATGACGTTGTCCATGAGAAAAAGAGAAATCACTATGGCAACAACAATACTATACAAGAAATATAAGAACTGAATGTTCTATATTACAATGTTTAGGGACTTTAAACCTCGCCATGCGTATTATCCAGTTAGCGCTCGTTTTCTTCCTACAGTTCGGGCTCTGTTTTAGCAGTTATTAGTGTTTTTACTCATCTCCATTTCACAAAAGCTTGTATTCCAAACACCGAACCCGGGTCCCAGCATCAGGTCAGCTGTGACTGCTAAAGCTTCCCCAGAGCATGGCAGGGACGGCTGGGCAAACCCATCCTCAGGGCGGCTGAAGGACCCACGTGTGGGAAATGAAGCGACTGTGACATCTGACCATTAATTCAATAGTGAGCTCTCTTCTCGGATACAATGACTTCCCTGCCAGTGGGTGAATCGAGTTAGGCTATAAAGTTCAGAAAGTTTTCAGGAAAATTCCAGGAAGCGTCTACATGGATCTTTTAACACTTTAAAAAATTTCATTTATTCATTTCTTTATTTTTAAAGGTTTTTTATTGAAGTATAGTCAGTTTATAATGTTGTGTCTTCTAACACTTTACTCAGGTTTGATTAGCTTGTGTGACCTCGATGGGCCTGTTGTATCCCTGCAGCTGCCAA